AACTCTGCTTTTTTGGCATTTGAGTTCTTGGAACAAACAAACACACCACACCAGAGTACAACCCTGAATATACAAACATCTTGAAGGATTTTGGTCCGATCAGTGTGGTACCCAAGTCCAAACATCGTCTTTGCTTCTGCGGCATGTTGGTAGATATCTTGAAGCATGTGAAATTTTTGGTGATGTTTGGTTTTCACGGCCATGCGAACCAATTATATTGCATGACAGTTCTTTTCCTTGACGTGGACCATGCTTTCGTATCATTTCAGCAACACACTGAAAGCTCAGCACCAAGACTAAGACTGACGAAGTGGTGCAAAATGTCTGGCCTCAGGTGAGTCATCTCCAGTGAGGCAATACTCCAGAGCCTACCTCTACCACCTCCACGAGGCATACTGCGAGCCTTTTCGAAGGGTGGACAGTGCCCATGTCACATGGTTCATTTGATCATGGTGATTTATGGTGATTTATGGTGATGGATTTGATTTATTGTCGTGTATGATACATGTATGGTGATAGATTTGGATCAAAGGTCCATGAACTTCTGGGGACCATGCTGCTGGCTGAGCACAATCTCAATCTGTTCCTTGGCCTTGACAGAAAATGGTGTCTCTTTGCGTTCCCTGCTATTTATGCTTCTCAGTGCCTTTTGCACGAATTGTTGAATTCTTATTGTGAAACTACATAGTTTGTGGATTATCGCAATTTTGTTCATCGGTTCCATGACTGATGCCCGTACAGAGGTATCTGAAATTCTTTGAAGCGCTTCGAAGTCATATCAAGAGTGGAACTCTGCAGTTCTGTTCTCAGTTGCAAATCTCTCATGCCCAGGGCTCTGGGTACATGATAAAGTTTTGATTCGAGCTGAATTCCGGTTGCAGAGTTTAAGCACAAATTCAGAAATTCATTTTTTTTGATTCCGCTCTGGACCACAGCTTGAATATTTGTCGATATCGAATCTACAGCATCAACATTGGAGTTGTCCAGCTTTGTTTTTGCTGACGCCCCGGAAAATGGCCCCGGAGAATTTAGTTTTTTTTTTGCATGTTGGGTTGGGTGGTGTTGGGGTATTAACTTTCATCTTAACTTGCAAATGCCATTGATGGTGGGGCATTGACCTTGAACACGCTATTGATGCTGCTAGAGATGTCTAATGTTTTGTGCTATGTCATGGGGTGAGGGGGTTGGTTCGGGGTACTAACGTTCATATTCATGTGCATGGGGTGGAGTGGGCGTGGTGGGGGTATTATTGTTCATGTTAATTTGCACACGAAATGATGCACTTCCCGCAGGCTCTTCATGCTGCGCTCTCAACTTTCTAAAGTGACTTCCACACGCTTTTGATGTTACAGATTTGTGATATTTGTATGTAAAAAATGTTTTTGGGATCTCGGATCACAAAAACACTTTCTAACCATTGGAATTACGGTTTCAGGACAAAGTGCGGTCGGTCATTTACAGGAGAATGAACATGGGCGGCAAAATGCACAAGACCACAAAACTGTGCGAAGGCTAATTTCTTCTGCAGCCGAAAAAAGATACCGGCGCTAAACACCGGGGCCTTAAATAGGGGCGTGACCTTGTTTTCCCTTTAATCAAAGCACAGCAAGTCGCAAGACTGCAAGAATGAAAGTCAAAATCCCGCAATACTTTAAATGTTCGAAATGTTCGTTCTTTGGGCTTCTTCCAAATGGCTGAAGAAGGCTAAAGGTTTTCAATGTTCCAGTCCCCACCCCTTTGAAATTCCAAAGCCACCAACCTCACTGGTGGAACGGACTTTGGAAACATGACATGAGCACCATCGTTTGTCCCACTCTAGCAAACATGTAAGGCGTAGATTCAAAGAAATCCATGAGAAGTTTTTGGGAACTAAGCATCCACGTTGGGATGCCGAAAAGTTGCCCAGACTTTGAGCAAGTTGACTTGGGACTTGATTGACTTGATCAATTTCCTCAGGAAGTTTGCTGCTTGGTTTCTTCAAACTCAGACCTGCGATGCTCCTGAAGCAAAGGCAAGGCGGATGCAGCGGATGAATTCAAGCGTTTGTCAATGTGTCTTTTTGGCCCTCACACTCGCACACTAAGATGACTGAAACCTGGAGAGGTTTTTGGTTGTACATTTGGTTTCCTTACAAAAGCTTGTGCCGCAGACTTTGCACATATGCGCTACAATTGAATTTTCAGGGCCAGACGCCGCCGAAGAAACGGCAGAAGATCTGAGCGCTGAAACCTGCGGGCTGCAAGGCATTTCCATAGCAAGTGATTTGTTGCGGTGACAGGTGACCAACCTGGGCATCTTTTTGTTTTGTGATTCGTTGTTTTCACTTCCCATATAGGATTTCATAGCTCAATCCGGATGATGCCGATGGTTTGCGCAAGACCTGCAGATCGATTCACTCTAGATGAACAATGGACAAACTCGCTGGCGGTTCATTGTTACCTGGCGCTCCGCTGGTTTCACGGGGAGTAATTAACTGACCAGAAGGGGATGGGTTTTGGGCACAGGCTTTCTCCCCATCCAACCCAGCAATGATGGACTCTTGGTGAGATTGTTGAATGAGTTGGTATAAGAGCTTGAAGACAAGATTGCCGAGTCCTATTATAATCTTGCAAGTGAATTGAACACATGGTGCCATGCCTAAATCACCCAGCGATTTATTGATCACGTGGGTTCCAACAGAATGTCGAAGGAGTTCACATGTCCTGTGATGCCTGGCTCTGTGAAGCAGTTTCGTGCAGCAGTTTGCTTAGTATGTTGAAAGTCAACAGAGTTCTATGCCTTCACACTTCACAGACTTTGCAGAGTTGGCTTCTCAATGCAAAGACTTGGGTTACTGTCTCGGTGAATGAAGACGGGAAGAGCGCACCCAAATGGAACAGATCCTTCTGGTGACATTCCCTGAAATATCCAGTTGTGAATTGTTGTGACCACAGAGCCGACGGTCAAACTTGAAGTCTCTTCTCTTCGTATGCGGTAGCCTTGCGCCCCAAAGATATGCATGGAACTTAGCCAGGTAGTCCTTTGCAAAACAACATACAACTATCGAGAGAGAGAGAGAGAAACGTCCAGACTTTCAGAAGACCTTCAAAAAGTATCAACAAATCTTGTTTGCAAACTGAATCTCTGACTGCTCTGAGTTTGTTCTCAGCAGTTTCGGAGCCTTGAGGGCACCTGCGGGCCTTCAACCTCGCTTCATCTCCGAGTACAATTGGGCGACTCTACAGGCACCGAATCAAACAAGTACTACAGTACTAGTCCAAGGGTGACAAGAGAAATGTAACTTCATGGATTCAATCCGATCAAATTCTAGGACTCTAGACAATCTTGAATGAAGTCCGGTAGGGACACACTTTGTGTACATTGCCTCTATGTTTACATCGTCCCGAATGGTGAGCACTAGCAAAGGCCTACGTGTGCGTCTTTTATTTGATATCCATGTCAGAAAGCTCTTCCAATCCATGGTTGCCAATCGCATTTTGTTGGCTGTTCTTGCCAAAGTGTTCTGACAAAGTTCTTCAGCGCTCTGCAAACATATCGTACACCGTGTCAAAAAACGGTTCACACAAGCAACCTGTCCTACAAGCGTTCTCTACACGTTTTCTTGCAAAAACATCGCGCAAGAGTGCTTATTAACAAGTGTTCTGCCAGTGCCTTGCTTGGGAAACAGGTATCTTAGAAGAGTGTTCTTCACAAGCTTCGTTATAAGATTTTTCTCCAAGACTGTGGTAAAGTATTACCCGTAGAGTGTAGGAAATTTGTTTACAGAGCCCAGGCGAAGGGATAGCCTGCGAAGGCTTTTTGCGGAAGTATTGTTGAGAAGTGTCTTGCGGTGCTGTGCCAAAGGCGTTCTACAAACCGTTCTCCAAATCCTTCGGAAAGGTGTACGTATTTTGAAAGGGGCTGAAAGCGTGTTCTGCAAGTGAGCTCTACAAAAGTGTCAGAGAGGTGCGGGGTGAAGTCGGGTGAAGAAGTGCTGTTCAAAAGGTGGGTTGTGCACACACGCGGCAAGATTTGCGATATGGAGCAGCTGTCCTTGCAACGTGGCCTCCTCTCATTTCGCCTTCGAGTGTTCGCACTCTGCAGGCCAACCTGCCACATGCCATCCTTGTATCCTCGAGGCCTGGCATATCAAGTAGGTCCGCAGTGCCGTCACGCTGATGTCTTCCTTTCACTTCAAATCCGTGTTGAGACTGTGCGAAGGGTAAGCATCGCTGATTGTGCCGTCGCACTAGAGGTTTGACAGCAGTTTTTTTTTGCAAAGCACTCCCAGCAAGGTGTTCTCCCATTCATCCGCAGAAGGCGAGATGTTGGAAAGCGTACTCCTCTCGCCTGGACTAAGAGGTGTACATATTCTTGTTTGCAGCCTCATACTCACTTCATGTCAATCCGCTTACAAGATGTTCTTCTTGATGGATGATGACTTCTCGTTGGGGTGAAGAGCCGTTATTTTGAGTGTTTCTCCAACCAAGCTTTAGACTTCAGATAGTCCAGCACATTTGGCGTATTGTTAACATGGCTAGCGCATGAAGCGCAGAAGAGCAAAACTTCATAAAACTTCACTCTCGTTTGAGTGAGGCGAGCCGTTTGGAGTTTGTAGAGCACCTCATTCTCCAGGGTTGGACGCTTGACTGGCTGTGTGCTGAAACATGGCAAGTTGGACCTCCAAGTCCGACCTTTCCAGCAGATGCGTTGTAAAGTCAATATGAGATATGCGGACGCCACTTTGCTCAAGCTTCTCAAACTTAGAACCTAGACAAGAAGGACATGGAAGTGGTCAGGGCAAAAAGTGTCAATGTGTTTACTCTATGATTTTAAGACTGCCTGGATTGCGCTCTAAACCGCTGGGGGGGAAATCAAACATTTGCGCTTTTTCACCCAGATGAAAAGGTGAATTACGGGCACAGCTTTTACTGCTTGAGGATTCAGCTGCTTTTAAGCTCCAGGAGAGTCCCAGAATCCTAAGCTTCCAAACTTAAACATCTTAAACGGGTACCTCCGCCATGGAGCTTTCGTTTAGGGTGGAGGCAAAGTTGGCAATTGCAGTTCCAACTTTCGAATGGGAACAATCGGAGCAACTTTTCAAATCGCCACAGGTAAATCCACTCCGCCTTTGGAGAGCCCCAAGACTTGGCACTTCCCAACCCGGAAACGCAAGGACTTTGCGTACGGAAGTATGGCAACATTTCCATACAATTCAATACAATTCACACAATTCCATTACGGTTTAGTTACAACTGCCAACAGATTCACTTCGCTTTGCCGCTTCGCTCGTCACTTGGGCTCCAGTGAGGAGATCTTCATCGACGAACAAGTCTGCACTGACCCGCGCTTCGTGCGCTTGCCTTGTATTTTTTTCGAGCCTCGACGCAAGGGGCTGTCAGATTTCTAGCTTGCTTTAGTAACTACTAGTACCTTAGCAAGGATCAGGTTACGAATCACCGTATTTATCAGCAGTTTCTATTTTGATGACTTTAGCCAGGACACGGTGTAGGCAGTTGACAGAGAGGTAGCTATTTGTATCAGCCCATCACTTTCGACAGGAGTGAACACTTCCAAGATTTGCAGATTTCGTTGTGGTAATTTGCACACCCTCACACGAAAGCTTTTTGTATATGTTGACTGAGTTTAGCAGAGCTTATGGCCTTTGAGTGGAAATTTGAAATTGAACTGGCGAAGCAAAAAGGCAATTTTCGCGCGCTTCTCGGCGCTCAAAGTCTTCGACGGTTTGCAAAGCTCAGCCGAGCCGTCCACGGCTCTTGCTTTTGGGAGGCACCAGAGAGGGGAGAGAGAGAGAGAGAGAGAAGACGCACATGACACAACGAGCCATTGCGAGAGCAACTTTTATTGTATTCCTGTACATGTGGCATGGTTTGGCATGCTTTGGCCAGTGGAAAGGGTGTTCAAGGGTGTTCTTTTGCTTAGTATCTAGGATACCGCCATGCCGCTTTTCTTTTAGCCGCCCTTTCTGTTTTTTCTGTTTTCTTTTCCCTTTTTCCCTTTCTTTTCTCAGCCTGTCAGCTGTTTTGTCGGCAGATTCGGCAGGTTGCGGCCGGATTGGCACTGCAGCCGCTGTGCATTTGATGAAGCGAGCCCCTGGACCTCTCGAGGTGCGGCAAGGAGTAGCTTCGTATTCCAATTGACGGATACCTTTTCTTCATATTTCTTCATATGTTTGCATGTGTTTATCACGTGTTTATCACGTGTTTATCACGTATTTGCATATTTTTCAAACAGAGCTGCCTTCGACCTCCAAAACAAACAGCTCCGCATTCCGCGCATTCCACGCTTTACCTCTGCCAGATCTGCCAGGTGATCTTGGCAGGTCGCAAGCCCGAACGGGGCAAGGAGGCGGTAGAGGAGGTGAAAGCAGAGGCCTCTTCAGAGAAATTCTCTTGTCTTGTCCCAAGAACCAGAAAAGACATTTGAAATGACATTGAATCAATGAAATTAACAATATCATCATGAACTCAAGAAGATGCATAACTTACAGATACAGACCTGTGTGACTGTAAGTGAAAGTCTCCAAACAATTTTCTGTCAGGTTTTATGTATTTGTGTGTGTTAAGTTCGCCAAAAGACGTCAAGAGGTTGAGCTGGGCCAGGGCCACGATGTCTCCTTTTGCCAGGCAGGGAGTGACCTGTTAGGAAGACCCAAGCGTCAAGCGTCTAAAACTTCTGCTTTGCGCAACGCACAATTTGCTTCAGGTTGCTTAGAATTTAGAATATTATGTATGGTCATAACATGTCAGTAGAATTCATTACCTGTCATTGCCCACCACAGGAAAAAAACAGAAGACCATGAAGGGTAGATATATTTGCATACAGAAATTGGTCATTTTGGGAAGTCTTTTGGGGGAACTGCATGTTCCTTTTACTGCGAATATGTGACTAGCTTCAGTAGTATTGCTCAAGATCCTGAGACACACCTCCCGTTGTGCTTGCGCAGGTGGATTGGCAAAAGCCAGGCAGGGAACCTGAACTTCTTTGAACTCCTTTCAGCTCATTCCCAATTCATTCCCAATTTCCTGATATCACTTTGGACTGGGGTCTTTTGCTAGGCCGCTAGGCTTGACTGTTGCTTGCTACACAATTTGCATCTGCCACCTTTAGTTGGGAGATCAAAGGTCTCCATCTTCACAAGGCACTACCGGCACCGGCACCGGCACTACCTCAGCTCAGTTTGTGCGATGTCCTAGACTGGGACAGGCACGCTGCCTTTGGATGGCGTCGATGTGTTGCTACACACAGCTGGACCTTTTGATGGTGAACCCACAGTGTTGCAAGCTCCACGGTATACAATTGTGGGCAGGGGGCCAGGAAAGCACATAGAAAACACATAGAACGCAGCAATCATAGCCGCTATCATAGCCAATCCAAATCTTGCGAATCTAGTTTGTTGCATGCAATGCTTCAGGGCCTCCTGGTTTTGATGTATTTTCAGACCAGTGTACATAGAATCTTTATCTCTGCTGCCTATTGCTGCCTATTGCTGCCTATGCTTCATGTTTTGCAGCGTCCACGTCCTACTGTAAGTCCAACCAAGGAAGCACTAGAGAAGCGTGTGCCTATCTATGTGGATGTGGCCGACCCCATGAGATCCTTGGAGTGGAATTCAAAAAACGATTCATGTCCGATTCACTCATTGACATTTCTTCCTCATTGACATCTCTTTAAGTTTTGACAATTTCTTGAAAAAGGTGTCGACACGGGCAGGTGAACAATTTCAACGCTGAACTTGGAGCTTGTAAGACTTGTAAGGCTACTTGGACGCGGCAGAAGCTCTGGATGACAAGTTTCGGGATGCCGAGTGCATGGCCCTTTGCAGTGCTGGTGCCTTCCCAGGATCCTTCGCTCAAGAAAAGGCAAAGGGGATCTGGAAAACTGGAAACATGGGCATACAGGGGCACTCTTATATACATAATATAACATATTATATCCTGTATATACATTATACACATTATTTTATATATTTATATTTCTGATACATAATGTTTCCTAACATCAAAACAGCCAGGATGTGGAAAGAAGAAAGTGGGTGACTGAAACATAGATTGCAAAGACTTGTGCTGGGCTGCTGGGTGGTGAAAGTGGGTCCTGTGATGATTTCCAGAAGAGCACGGGAGCTCCAAGCCTAATGGACCTGGGAAAGTGACGGCCATAGAGCTGCAATCCACAGATTTAGCTTTCCAGGATTCCATACTTATGCCATACTACTCCAGTCAGAAATCCTGCTTTGGGAAGTCTGTGGGAAGCTTTCAGGAATGCAATCCCGACATTGGGTGTTCTGATGGCCATGGTGGCTTCTTATCACGGCTCTAAATGTTTGCAACCTTTGCTACTTGCATTCCATGGCTTCTGAGGCTTTTCAAACATTTTGGCCATGGAATGTGCGCAGCGACTTCGAGAGTCGGGTAGTGCCCCAGAGAAATTGGAGTAGTGAGCTGGTAGATACTGGTAGATACTGGTAGATGGTTCAAGCCGCGGAAGGGCATGTTTCATTTCAGGGCAGGAACATGACCTCCGTTCAAGAGCGAACATTTGTGCTTGCTGCTTGTTGAAGAAACAGCTGATCATGTGAGGCAACGAACTTCAAGATCTGAACTTCTCTTACTTCACAGCAGGTTTGGGAGGAAGTGGCCCGGTCAACCTTTTGATACTCGTATGCAGTCGGTCATGAATGTCATGTATTTTTTGCAGATGACACAAAATTCAGTAGAAATTGACACAACCCATACCATGATGCAACGAAATCTCTCGGACTTGCTCACTTTGACGAGATTGCAGGGGATTCCAGGCAGAAAGTACGAGAGCTTTCTCCGAGTATTGCAGTATCGATGGTGTTGTGTTTGAGTCTGTTTTACCATTTTGCCAGGATTACCAATCTCGGCTTCGGGGATCCAGTACCAGTCTTTCAAAATGGGAAATATGCACCTCAGATGGTGGCTGGTTCAGAGATGCGGAAGGTGGACTTTTTCTTGGATGACGCTCGGTTGGATTTCACAACACAAATGGCAATCGGGAGAAGCCAAGCCTTGAGACGCTGCGGAAATTGCATTATAGAAAATGCATTAAATCTGTCTGAGTGACGCCTCTTTCTCCTTGTGGCGAACTATATACCCTTCCAGTCCTGACCTCAAGGAATTTGTGAGAAACGTCAAGCCAGATTGTAACAAAAAGGCCAGACAGAGAAAAAGAGAGAGAGAGAGAGAGCGAGAGCGAGAATTGCAGAGATCGAAAATCTGGCGATGGACAATTATCCGTGCTTGCCGTGCTTGTGCTCTTTTCTTTGCGTCTGTGCATCTCAGTGCCTGCAAGGAGGGTGATCCTGCGTTCAAAGCTGTCGGACGTCGGGATGTTTGGTCCTGGCCTTTCCCGGAGGCGCGAAGCCTTGAAATGCGTTGACACTTCGGTTGAATTCCCAGTGCTTTTTGATGTTGATACCATACTTTTCCCAATGTTGAAACTTGGCACTTCAGGCAGGCACTGTGCCGCGGCGTTTGAAGATCCAAGGTGCTGAGTGGCCAAAAAGCGAATCATATTCTGAAATTGCTGTGTCTCAAACCCCAAACACTCAAAACAGGAAGGAAAACTTACTGTTCTTTTTGGCATGCGGCTGATACGCCGCCCTTGGAAGGGTTGCTTATTTTGAGATGTGCCATTCACGATCCCTTGGAAGGGTTGCAAATTTGAAAGATGAAGGTTGCGAAAATGAGGGTTCAAGAATTGAATTTAGGGGTTGGATGTCTTAAGGTTCCTGCAAGATGCGTTACATAGTTATATAACATGTTGCACATGCTCTCTTATGGCGACTATTGATCAATGATAAAAAATATTCATCTATATTCAACTGTTTAGCTACGCTTGTGGAGAATGTCGTTCTGTCAGGCAACTCCAGTACAGGGATGGGCACTGCTCCTGGCATTTGGAATGACATCTTGGTGGTGCCTTGGATTCTACAGAAAAAACATCAGGGAATCTCCAGAAAATTCTCTGCTTTCATCTCTCAAAACTCTTGATTTCGTTGTTTTTTTCACTTCTGAAAACACTCACTCTTCTGGCCATTTGTTGCGGTCAAGTCATGTCAAGTCGTCAAGGCCTTGGTGTCACTTGTGCCTCGAGAGCTCTGGCAACAACGTGGCTTCTCTGAAGCGTTGGCCTATTTCTCGTTACCCATGGTGTGGGTCACTGACCAGTTCCTTGGAAATCGCGACGAACCGAGCCGCTACGGATAGATCTTGGATCATGTTGGGCCTTAAGACTTAAAGGCATATAAGTTATATAAGACATTATCTTGTAATATCTTGTAGGTTTTGGATGGCCTTGGACAGTCTTGGACACGGTTGAGACGATTCAGGTTACATATTGTCCTGGTGTGAAAGTGTTTGGTGCATCTGGCGTTAATTTGGAAGGCCTGTGGTTTTCAAGGTTCTGGTGTGCAATGTTTTTCATATACAGGCTTTTGTTTTAAACATTCTTGGTGTGAAAAAATATTCAGCATGTCTGCTTTTCTGTAAAGAGAACTGCCAAGAATGAACATATTTGGCTCGGTATGTGTAGGTGTAAAATAAGCCCAGATTCTGTCAAAAAGATACGCTCTATGGCTTGATCCAGTGCGAGATTGCAAAGAAGTGTCTTGGGTTGCTTTTTCCACGAGCAAATAGTACGACATAAATATAAATCTATCTAAAACGTACTAAACGGTTTGACATGTGGCAATATAGTTTATCTTGAACCGAAGCCGCGCTTGCATTGGGCTTACACTAGGCTACGTTGAGCCTAAGCTGGCCTCTTCAAAGGTACTAATATATTCGACGTTACTTCCCAAGTTATCAGTAATTTCATGAACCCTGCAACAACAGGGGATTTGAAAGCAAACAGTGCTTAAAATTGCTGGTGTCAAGGAAAACACTTGGCACCACGGTCTGCGTTTGCTTAGGTTTGTCAAGGAGACACATGCCATGCGCGTGGAGGCGCGCTCACATTCTGTTTTTTTTGAACTGGACAAGGTGGCTTTAGCGATCTGTCACAAACATGTTTTGGCTGAGATTAGCAATACTTCCTGTCAATCCCCATTCTTCCTTCGTTGCGTGGCATGCTCGCGAATTCGATGAAATTGTAGGGGCTTTCGCACAGCTGCTATGGACTGGACAGACATGGGATGAAAACAAGATCAGATCCGAATTCAAGGTAAAGAAATCCTTCTTTTTGTGAGATTGAGCAATCCTGTCCATTTTTTTTTGAATCTTGAATTGATTTCACTGAGAGACCAAAACTCAAGTATGCAGTCCAGCCTTTTGTTCTTTGCCGCTGTTCTGGACTCTATGTAAAGCTGCAGCCTTTTGGTCTTTGTCTCTTTAAGACTCTTTGACTCTTGAGGCTACTTCTCCAGATGGTCGGAATTGCGTGTGTGTGCAGACACACCAGAGCTTTCGGCGCTGTGTTGCGCAAAGTGCTGCTGAGTTTGTGTTGCACCTCCTGGAGAGATCTTTGGTGCTGCCAAGGGTGCTAAAGGGTGCTAAAGGGTGCTAAAGGGTGCTAGAGGTGTTCGCGAGGTTTGAGAATTTCAATGGTTTCTAGTAAGTTTCTAGGGTGATTGAATGTGATTGAAGAGGTTTAGAGTCCTCAAGAAACCAAGCTGAATGAAACACATTCTCATTTGGGTGTCAGAAAGGAAACATCCAGGAACATCATGAACCATTTTTTTCTTTGATTTGTTTGCGTTGGGATCCTGATTTGATACAATCACGTTGACGTCATTCGGTCAGGATGAAATGTTCCATTTTCAATTAAAGAGAAACGAGACTGTACGTCAGCCATGGACCCCCGCTGCCAAGGACGTGGCTTCTGGGGAGCGTCTCCTTTCCCTTGGCAGCCAGGGGTATACCTCCCAGAGCGTTTGGCCGAGGATAAGGCTCGATGATCCAGAATCAGTGAGTCTCTGTGTTTCTCTCTGTTTGTTGTGATTTGATTAACTGCATACTGCATACTGCATACTCTCCTATATTTTTAAGCACTTCAAATACCTTTTCACCAACTCGAACTCGCGAAAACGAGCGTTGATCAGTTTGTGTCCAGGAAGTGCGTGAAGAATTGCTCGAGCGGCTCACAACCACCGAAGGCACCATATCCTGCGGCTTCCAGCTAGGCCAGGACCGTTCAAACGTTCACATCACTTCCGGTTGCATCAGTTCGGCTAAGACTTCGATATAATTTGATCCAGAAAGGATTCTGGTTGCATCACTGGCATCACTGGCATCACTCTGCAAGAATCTTGTTGCGATTTTCCTGGAAATGATTCAGTGAAGCTTCTCCTGCCCGCCAAAACCAGTCGGAACCGTTTTTCCATGTTCTGTTGAAGTTGGAAGCAATGTCTGATGCCTGGCTTAGAGGTAAAACTCTAACGCCATTTAACGCTGTGAAAGTTTCCAAGTCTCTGCGTTCCAGTATCAGGCATGAATCCAATATGAGCGGTGTGCCAAGAGTGTTTGATACGTTGCAGTTTTAACTGTGAGGCGAATCCTGCTGAACTAGAAGCAAAAAGATGCGAGACCGCGAGACTGTGTTCTTGAGACAGTTCAGCATATGTTCAGCATATTCAAACAATTCCACCAATTTCTTGAAAGAAAGACAGTTCTGCTCGCCTCGCAAAATCAATGGACACTCTGACAAGCTGATGGCACAAGGTGCTGATCCACAACGCAGCATGAAGATTCAAGGTGGGGGGGGTTCTTGAGATAGTGACCTTGTCCCGTGTGAGTTTACATCAGTTAATTACGACATATACCGACATATGGACTTCAAATGTTTATCCTACTTTTGTTTCTTTTCTGATTCTTTTCTTATCTGCAACTTGTACAGTTGTTTCTGGCTTGCAACCGGTTGGACTGCCGTTAAATAGGTTTGGCACTTTCAGTCAAAATTGGTAAACATAGCTCCGAATGGCTCGTTTACAGTTTCTCATGTTTTCCCTTCACTCTGGCCTCTGGCAGATCGTTCGCATTGCTTCCTTGTTGTGTTGCAGGTGAGGAGGTATCCCCCCTGCAAAGAGCTATCCAGCATGCAGCTCAGTTTGCAACCGAATGTCACTAACTGGGACATGGACAAAACAAAGGTCACAAAGCGTGCTACAAAGTGTGTCACAAGTCACAAAGGTCTCATTTCCAAGACGGTTTAGATAAGCTTTGTCAGAGTGTTGCCAAGGTACGGTGATCCGATGACCATTCGGACCATTCAGAAAGCCATAGAGTTGTTCAAGCAGGACATCGGTGACTTTGACAACAACTTGTCAGTACTTGCTTTCCTTTGACTTGGGCCGTTCCCTTCACTCGAACAGTGACATGTTCAGGAAGCACCTTTGATCATTCTGCCAGATGTGGACAAGCGCATGGAGGACTCAAGCCCTTGCGAGGGTTTCAGCTCCTTGTGTTGGTGGAAAAAAGGTGGAGGTACAGCTAGGAAGTTTTGGCTTGTCTTTGCTTTCCACCCGGAGTCCCAGGTTCGTACTAGAATGCAAGACTCAAGTTATCCACATCCACCTTGCATTAAAAGACGAGGCAGCATTTTGAGAGCTTATTTGGATTTATTTGGGGTATAGCCGGTATAGCAGATATGTTTTATACCGAGAAAGAGCACATGTGGAGGTATGCAGAGAGTGCGCATGTTGAAATGTGAAAAAAGCAGTCAGCACATTATTGACATTGAGTTTGCTGCTTTTTGCTGCTGTTTGGTTCCGCTGTTAGCTTCTGCCCTTTAAGGCCTTTGCTAGTGTTTCAAGAGGTATTTCCAAAGCAGTTGGTCATCCTGTCAGGAGAGCTCCCAGCAAAAACTTCCAATAGCCATCCTTTTTCCAGGCGTGAAAAAACCAACAGATACGAGCTATGTCAACAGATAACACGGATCACTTGTCACTGAATGTGAAGTCTTTCTTCACTTCTATGTTGTCTCTAGTTGTCTCTAGTTGTCGCTAGTCTCTTCTCCAGTCCGTATCAGCACCAACTCAGTCTGGTAACACTGGGTGGCAAACTCTGTGTACGTCCATTCTTGTGCAATGTTGTGTGTGGTTTCTGCATGCAAAATAGATCAAGGGAAGTACAGCTTTGCCATACAAAACCCTGGAAATTTGAGCAGTGACCACTGTGACAAGTCTTCGAGCAGGTCAAGGGTCTCAGTATGTCAAGATGCTGGCGGAGGCACCCTGATTTGGCGCAAAGCTTTGGAGACTGCATGAAGCAATCCAAAACCTGTCATGTCAACATGCACACATGCACAGCGCCAGCATATAAAGCCGACGGACCTTTGGTGGTTGCAGCACTTGGCTGAAGATCAGATAGAAATAGGCCTGCACGATGGGCTTGTGCCCAGAAGAGAAGAGTCTGAAGTATAGATGGGTATCACGAACAGATTTAAAAAGAAACATATTCAATAGCTTTTTTGTCAATGTGTTTGCTGGTCAACACAGCTAATTTAGTAAACCTGCGCATGGGTCTGGCAGCTGGCAGCCATGGATGCTGAATCAGTACTGAAAGAGCTTGAGAGCTTGCAGCAGCTTCATGTCGAACAACACCAACAACTTTCGCTTGCACTGAGCAACTCACATGCCTTGATGGAGAAATTCAAGACCCTTACATCTCAAAAGAAGTCTGTTACCATTCATAGCATGCCAAGCCAAAAGAGCCAGAGAAGAGAAGATCGAAGAGAATCCTTTCGATCTGCAAAGATTCAATCCCGAGTACAAAGTGTAGAGCAGCTTGGATTTGCCTTGGTATTTGGAGAATCTGCTCGCAAGACTCACCGTCCCTCCATCGAGAGTGACGAAAGCATCCAAAACATAGACCCCTCGACCATGACAGGCCGTTTAGGTTCACAACCCTCGCAACCCTCGCTGTTTCCGGCTTCCGGATCTCAACCATTTGACCTCATACCTGTTCCTATGGTTGGAGATGTGAACGTTCCAGCAGAGCTCCCTGGCGCCCTCGATCCAGGCGCTTCCATTGATTCAAGTGTCGTTGCAGAGTGAAGTTCAAGTGGAGTTCTTTGCTGTTCGCATATTAGAGTCAGAAATGTTTTCTATATCTCCCAGAGAAAAGTGATGAACACAAAACCAACAGGAAAAATGACAGATTTGTCGTCGAGGTCTTAACGGTGAGAAGCGAGGGCACACGACTTTGACACTGTCCAACATCAACAAAGGCTTGGGCAAGATGAGCTGATCCCCATCAGATGTTCTGGATTTGACATGTTTTACAGTGTCGTCTAGGACCACATTGGACCACATTGGACCACATTGGACCACATAAGCAAGCAATTTCCCAGAAAGGGACCTCCTGCGGAAGTGATTTTGGCTCCACCGTCAAAAACCGGTGATGTTTACAGCGAATTGTGATGAAGGGTTTGAAAATGTTTGAAACCTATTGTGAGAGACTTTTGTGACAGATTTCAATCTTTCCACAAGGCTTGCAAAGAACTGCAAGCAACTGCAAGTATATAATATTATATAATATAGAAACGCCTGCTGCACCACATGCCACAAGAATGGATGGATTCTGCATCTTGAAATATTACGTACAGCATTAATAGATGGCTAGTGTGATAGAGGTGATGGAGAAGTACTACTCCTAGAAACCATTGACAGGATATCATACAATGGTTTCTTCACGAACTTGCCAAGCTGGAAAATCATCTCAACACATATTGTATCTAGAGTCTATACAGAATCATTTCAGTTGCAGCAGGTGGTTAAAGACAAAGGTGTAGAATATATGCAAGCGCATCTAACATGACGAATATGGATCTAGCCTCCACCCAAGAGGCAGTTCGAGCTAGTATACATCAAGCAGACACTATCAGATTGTATAAGTAAGGTAAGGGCAATAACTCAAAACTCAAAAGGTAGAACACATTTCCTCTTTGTCATTCTATATCTTCTCTTCCAGAGCCTTGTCAGAAGACTTACTTTAATACTTGGAGAGGGAGAGAGAGAGAGAGAGAGAGCGAGCGAGAGGGGGAGAGAGAGAGAGAGAGAGAGGGAGATATGGAGATGGAGATGGAGGTAGAGATGGAGAGAGGGTAGTGAGTCACAAGGGAAATAGCAGGCTTGGTGAAGATTGCACTTTGGACATTATTGTGGTGCCGGTGAGTATGAAGAGACAAAGGTTCAAAATGTGTTTTCGCCTTTCAGAGCCCCACAAGTGTCTAAACCATTGGTATTTACAGTGTCTTGTGATGATTTTCTTCAGTCATCACCTTCCTTGGAGTCCCGTTCTCATATTTTTAGAAAGCAACGTGTGTGGGATCTATCCATGACACAGACAGCCTCGCTTTTTGCTTTTATTCAGCTTTTCGGTTTCAATAGTGTGCCGAATAGATTCGTGGCTGCAGGCGCGCAGTCGGAAATTCTGGAAAAGTGGGTCGTCCAGGAAGACGGTCAGGAGATTTCGATCTTTCAGCTGCGAAACAATTGACACATCACAACTCGGTTCTTCCTGGCGGTCCTTTGACATTGGAAAGTCATGAAAATTCTGCCACCGCATCTTTTTTTGCCACTTTCAGAATGATTCTTGCAAGGAGCCAGACGACTTGGGCTCGAAAATCCTTCTGAAAATGCCGAGGATTTTGCAGCTCACTTTGGCGAATGGATCACAGGATAACCCGGAACAGCCCTTGAAATTCATGTGGGAGTTCCTTGCACGGGGTGACACGAGCTGCTCAGATGTTCTTGTCTATTACAAACTCCAAGTATTCTCACTTCCACAGAGTGATCCTGTCACTCTCTGGTCGTGCCAGTCTCCTCCTCAATTCACACGTGAGGTATGTGGCAGTGCCAGTGCAAGCGCTTATATTGGCGGCATGCCTGCTGTTCTCAGACAGCTTGGGCAACCTGCAAGGGCAATACTATTCGAGTGTCATCAGCAAGTTCTTCTACACCATAGCCTCTGCAGTGTGGCTTGCTTTAGTCTCTTTAGTTCAGCCACCTTCCATTATATTTCAATTTCAATACTTTCTTGGCTTGTATTTCCATTATATTGCTTAGCTTGAAAATGAGCACGAACTTAGTTCGCGAAGAAATTGATCCAACATGATCCAGCTAAGTGTTTGAAATTGTTTGAATTCTTCAGCAACTTGGGATGTTTCTGCAGCAGGTGTCCTTACTTTCTTCTGACATCTCTCAGATCAGCAGATTTGATGCTTTCAGTTGGGAAACTCAACGAGCTGCCTGACAGCATTTGGCTTGGGCCCTGTGCAATGAGATGTAACAAGGAATCAATATTTTTTTCTTTTTGACTGACTGCTGCTGTGGCCGATGTCTGCTATTTTTCAGTTCTTGTGGCTCTTGCTTGGTCAAAAGGAACTTCGTTTCGTTTAATTTGCCACCTGATTCGAAACGCTTTATCCAACATTTGTTTGGAAGCATGGGCATGCCCAGATCATACAATGGAACATGTTGAACATGCCTGTTCTGTTTGGGTATCTCTGGCTCAGGTTTCTGGCAGATTTCAACTTGCATTGGAGCAGTGTCTCTGGACACAGTTTGAGCTAGTCAGTGACTGTCAGACGCTCGAGATTTGGGAAACAGCGTTGGCTTATGACCAGTCCAACATCTTTTGAGACTACTGATGAAGAGCTCTTTTCATGCCGAGACTCTTGAAAGACTGGACCTTCTGTCCAAAGTCGTACCTTGTGCAGGACAACGATGGCGCAGATATGCTTTGATGTGGATGTGTCTGGTACTGGTTGAAATTGCCACTCAAGCTCTGTTCATATTGGACGGCATTTCAGGCGTTGGGAGGAACTTGAGGATTGGCTGAACTACCATCGAAAGGGTGTGATTAGTGTGATTGCCTGCTTTGGAAACGATTATATGTGTAAATGATGATACGTCTGTCTCCTAGTGGAATACGGCTACCAAATTACCAAAGCAGAGTCTAAAATAGTATCTTGACTCATTGATGTGCAATTGTTTCATTGTCCTTCTTTCGTAAATCAATCAAGAAGAGGCAAATTGTTTGGAGTTTCTGGTCGGTAATCCAAAGTCCCGAAATTGGATTTGTCCTTGGACATTCCAAATCTTTTGACACATTGATTCAACTTCGAAACGGAAGAAGTTTCAAGAATAGGAAACAAAACGAAAGATCTCATGAGTTTTAGGAACTTTAAGTATTGGGGGTGACCAAATGATTTTGACCGATACGTGTGTTCACATTTCATATTTCCTGCAATTGGACAGGCGAACATGGCGCCTTCCATTCTGGTCATGTGATCAATTGGCTCTGTGTGGTGAGCTTTGCCATTTGCAGCTCATTAGTTGTGGTAGTTGCCTACACTCAGTGGCTTGGCTGAAAAGCAAAGACATAGAACCATATACAACTGGTGAATTCGTGTGGAAATGATGGGTGGATCTAGTGGCAGGTAAAGCCGTTGCGGTTGCCACCTGGAGGTGTCATTTGCTAGCAGCCTTGGATAAGAGCCTGGACTGCTGGTGCTTCAACATCGCGTCAGATCCAGACTTTGATCTAGGTGTCCTAACATGGAACCGATTGCAGGCAGGGGGCAACATGGGGCAACACTCTTTCCATGTCCGTGCAGACAGTAGAGACTCTGTTAACTCAGCATAAATAGGTGCTCCGCGCGCTTGGGGTATTTGATGGTATTGTATGGTATTGTATGATCTTAACTCAGCATGCAATACGAATGCTGCGAACGAAGCTTGACCAGGCTCTGCTGAAGTGTGTGGGCCGAAGCTTGGCGAGCAGCTTCATTGCCATGCAGGCAGGGCCACAGGGCCACAGGGCCACAGGGCCACAGGGCCTAGTTTTCTGCTCTTTTCTTTGCAGAGATCCCAAGATTCCATACGATTTCAAGAAGCACCGCAACAAATAGCAAGATGATGCAAGATGCACTGAACTCATGGATTCATGGATCAAATGCCAAGACAAACTGCCAACAGTAGTGGAAGCGTTAGCGAGGTTCTTGGGGCTGTTGGCTTCGTCTATTCCTTGGCCAGTGGCATTATGTTCCACGGTTGCGTTGAGTGCTGCACAGAAGATGCAAAAGTGTTTTCTATCCTGGTACAATCCATTTGAAAACTCGCCAGAGGATTCCCACTCGCTTGCAATTTGCATGCTTGCACGAAAGATTTGCAAAAGATGTTGACGTTGTCACAACCCAGGCCATGTCATCTTGACTTTGGAATGGAGCGTTGGGTTTAGTTTTTTTGTGTTCTGGTGCCGTTTCTGGCTAGGGTGTATCAAGGTGTTGTCTCTTCGCATCCATGCTTCTAAAAACATCCAGTTGCCAATGCGCAGGGTATGCTTCCAGTTCGATTTTGCGGGTGACAAGATCTTGCGAGAAGTGCTGTCTTCGCTTCCGCTGCTATTCCTCTTCGCACTAAATATGACTGCCGCTTGATAGACATAGCAATCGGCTTTGTCATACTGATGTTGATAAAACTATTTCCACTAGCAATTCTTTGTCTTTCAAATGCATACTGTACAAATACTTGTTTCACAGCTTGTAACGCACTTGCTAGAAGGTTGCAAGGCTGCAGATGGTGCCAGAGAAACTCGCATGATTTTCGGAAATGTTCGTCAAACTGCCTTGTGGGGCTTCAAACTGAAGAAACCTTGCACATTGGAGTGGCAGAGAAAGTTTCCTGAATTTAAACAGATTTGAATATCGTTTCTATGTGGTTGGGGAACCTTGACATGAGAAGACATAGGATGGGTCGAGCTTGAGGTTTGCACCACTGGTGCTTCGTTAACAGAGAAGTGTCGCAATATCCCTGCTTTGGTGAACCAGCTCCCATCGGATATTTGTCGCTCGGCATGGCACTGAGCACTGGGCACCGAGCACCTGGATCCACCTGGATCCATGAATTCGAATTCGTCCAGTGCTGAGGCATTGACACAGACCGACGGTACCTGGTGAACTTCCTTAAGGACGAAATCCGAAAAATCCGAAAAGTGGCTTGCAAATGCTTGCAATATCTTGACATTTTGCATTGCCAAGGTGTTTATATGCTCTTACAGCCAGGCAACTCACTGCTTGAGTTCTTTAGCCGGACACCTCATATAATTAATATAATAGAGTATAATATAATATAGTATAATATAGCATAATATAAGATAAGATAACATAACATGATACAATATAATATAATATAATATAATATAGCATAATATAATATGATATAATAGAATATGATATGATAACAGAATATATTTTTTAGATATTTTTGATATAATAAAAAATATAATATCATACATAATATAATATCATACATAATATAATATAATATAATATAATATTTATATAATATAATATAATATATAATATTATATATAATATAATATATAATATTATATATAATATAATATATAATGTATTATATAATACAAATATAGTATGCTATAATATAATATATAACAATATATTGTAATATGATATAATATAATATAATATGATATGATATGATATACATAATATGTAACATAATATAATATAAAATAACATATAACATATAACATAATATATAATATATAATGTATAATATATAATAGATAATATATAATGTATAATATATGATATATAATACATAATACATAATATATAATATATAATATATATTATATAATATATAATATAAATATATAATATATAATATATAATATATAGTATATAATATATAATATAATATATAATATATAATATATAATATAATATATAATATATAATATATAATATAGAATATAAAATATATAATATAAAATATATAATATATAATATAGAATATAAAATATATAATATAAAATATATAATATATAATATAGAATATAAAATATATAATATATAATATATAATATATGATATATAATATACGATATATTATAATATATAATATGTACTATATAATATGTACTATTTAATATATGATATATAATATAGTATATAATATAACATATAATATAATATAGTATAATATAATATATAATATCATACATAATACAATATAATACAATATATAATATTATATAATATAATATGTAATATAATATAATATATTATATACTATATAATATATAATATATGATAATATATAATATAATATATATATATAAAATAGAACATAACATGCCATAATATAATATGATATAATATGATACAATATAATATAATTGAATAGAATAGAATAGACTATGATATAATATGATATAATATAATAAGATACAATGTAATACAATACAATGTAACACTATATAATACAACATAAAATAATAGTAAAATTTAGTACAATATGAAATAATATAGTATAATGGAATTTACTATAATATGATAGAATAATATACGATATAATATAATTAAATACAATAAACTATCATAGAATATAATATACTATCATTTATAATAGAACATAATATGATACAATTTGATACAATACAATACAATATAATTTAATACAATACAATATAATATAATATGATACAATATAATATAATATAACATAATAGGATATATTAAAATATAATATAATATGATTTAATACTGCGTGAAATGCATTTCTCCACATGTTTCATCAAAGGACATTCAATGGATTAACATCTGATAGCCCTTTTTTGAGATCAAGATTCTTGGCCGGACTTGGCCTTGTAGTGGTGAAAAGACTGAGGAGCGTTGCCAACTGACTGCATTTGGAAAGGCATTCATCCCATTGTGTGATCCACTAACCTGTACCTGTCTCAAGACAGGTTATGAGCCCAAGGCTCCCGCGGCTAAATGCTGCATAGACGACGAGCTGGCCAGACTGAGGAATCAGGTCAAGCAGATGAGGCAGAAAGCAGGAGTGGAGGTGCCAGTCAAGCTGCGGAGTTAGCCTTGGTGCCAGTGGGAGGAAAGGACCCCAAAGAAGGAGAAGTTGGCGATATTAGTAGTCAAAAGAAAAGTAGTACCCAAAAAGGTCAGTTGGAGATAGAGGATATCCCCAAAGGGCCCTTGGGTCAGCCAGAGGTTCTAGGTCCTAAACGGTTAGAACCGTTGTTCAATGCAGAGCAAGTCAGAAAAGCGGAAGAGTTGTCAGCACAAGCTCCGATGTTGCAGAGCCAGAGACTGTCGCCAGGGGCATCGGAAGGGAATGGATGGGATGGGGGAGTGCTTAGTGGGGATCCAGCTGGATCTCAGCCAGGCATGGAGTTGGTGGCAGCTGGGAAAGGGATGGGAGCGACATCACCTACACTAGGGTTGCCAGCCATGCACATGCACGTACCTCCACACATGTTCTCTCCACACATGGTTCCACCGGCATTTCCACCTGCATATCATCCAATGCACGCATGGACAGAAGATCAAATGAGGATTCAAGTTCAGTTGCAACATGAGATGATGCAGTTGTCCCAGAATATGAAGTCTTTGCAAGAGGAGAATGTGCGTCTTAGGGTTCAACTAATGGAGGAAAGGGAAACGAAGTATTCCACCCCACCAGATGGTAGAACCCTGGAGAAAAGCTTGCGTTCCATCGACAAGCACATCGACAAGCGAAAGAAAGGAGGATTGGAAAGTTCAAAGCCAAAGGAGGACGGGTCCAGGGGCCAGCAAGACCTCAAACAGGAGGACGGGTCCAGGGACCGGAAAGAGCTTGAAAAGGAGGACGGGTCCAGGGACCAACAAGACGTCAGCGAGGAGGACGGGTCCAGGGACCAACAAGATAGCTGTGAGGAGGATGGGTCCAGAGACCGACAAGACAAAGAGAAGAAAGAGAGCTCCGAGGAGGAGGAAGTAGAAGGGCAGTCGGGTCAGTCAGACTCCAGCTCTGTCTCTGAGAAGGAAAGCAGAGGTCAAAGAAAGAAGCAGCCAACAAAGGAGGCCTTTGATGCGAGGTCCGAGACTCACTTAAGCCGACTTTTTTACTCATTATAAGCCGACATTTTGTATGTTGACTTCAGAGTTAACTCCATGGGGTACAGACCTTTAGGTTAACACTTGGGGACACTTGGGGTGGGTTTAGGGGACACTTGGGGACACTTGGGGTGGGTTTAGGGGACACTTGGGGACACTTGGGGTGGGCTTAGGGAACCAACTCCAAGGGATACAGCCCTTTAGGTTAACACTTGGGGACACTTGGGGACACTTGGGGTGGGTTTAGGGGACACTTGCGGACACTTGGGGACACTTGGGGTGGGCTTAGGGAACCAACTCCAAGGGATACGGACACTTCGGGTGGGTTTAGGGGACACTTGGGGACACTTGGGGACACTTGGGGTGGGTTTAGGGGACACTTGGGGACACTTGGGGTAGGGCTAGGGAACCAACTCCAAGGGATACAGCCCTTTAGCTCAACACTTGCGGACGCTTAGGGGACACTTGGGGACACTTGGGGTGGGTTTAGGGGACACTTGGGGACACTTGGGGTGGGCTTAGGGGACACTTGTTCCTGATACGTTGTAGCATCCTCTTCGAGTGACTTGCAACACGTTCCTGCTGCATTGTGACATCTTCTGCGCGGCCCTTCCGCCATGTTCCATGCATGACGTTGTCACATCTTCTTCAAGTCCCTTGAATGATGTTCTTGCTATTTTGCAAACATCTTCGTCAAGTAGCTTGCAATACATTCCTGATACGTTGCAACATCTTCCTACTTTTAAGTAAATTGAACGACCTTCCTGATACATGTGTCACCTCGTCTTACAGTAACTTGCCAGATGTTCCTGATACGTTGTAGCATCTTCTTCAAATGACTTGCAACCCCTTCCTGATGCATTGTGACATCTTCTGCGCGACACTTCCGACATGTTCCATGCATGACGTTGTCACATCTTCTTCAAGTCCCTTGAATGATGTTCCTGGTTTTTTGCAACATCTTCGTCCAGTAGCTTGCAATACATTCCTGATACGTTGCAACATCTTCCTACTTGTAAGTAAATTGCACGACCTTCCTGATACGTTGTCACCTCGTCTTACAGTAACTTGCCAGATGTTACTGATACGTTGAAGCAACTTCTTCAAGTGAGTTCAAACATGTTCCTGATACATTGCGACATATTCCTGATACGTTGAAACATCTTCTGCAAAGTGACATGCAATTCATATGATCGAATCAAAATGTCCTGCTCATCATCTCTGTCGGACCTGTTGCAGTCATATTGAAAGACTTCTATGTCACTTTCTATTGGTGCTGCCATCATATTTCACAAACGTAGGCGTAAGCGAGTAAAAACGTAGGCTTAAGCGAGGTACTGACCTTGATGCGATGCTGAAGTTGATGCAAGGGATGCAGCGGATGCAGGAGCAACTACTGGCTCATCGTGGCAAAACAGCCAGAGAAAGCGGCGACGGTCATGATGAAGAAATGCTTCGAGGAGGAGTTGAACTGCATCAGCTGCCCGAATGGTCACCAGATACCGCCCCTGTTGATTTACAGGATTGGTTGTTGCTGGTGGATCCCCAAATGTGTGACCTCAGCTCTTCGTCTCATGAATGGTGGGCGATGACTTTGGAAACTGCTAGAAGATGGTATCAGTTGCATCAGTCGATGAAGCCGATTGAGAAGTTGCAACACCAGGTCACGCTTCCAGCCGAGCTCCAACAGACAAAATGGAAAAGGCTGGAGAGGCGGGCCAGTAATCTCTTGTTGAGGGCGCTGCCGGAGAGCCAAAGGGAGGACATCATAGCTGGAAAAGATCTCTCAGTGTTGGCAATCCTGGCCAAGCTCATGGTAAACTACCAACCTGGCGGCGGCCAAGAAAAAGCAGCCGTGCTGTCTGCATTGGAGCTGCCCACGGAGGCAGGCAATATCGGAGATGCAATTGCAGGGTTGAGAAAGTGGCTGAGGTGGAAGAAAAGGGCACTAGATATGGGTCTTGTGCTTCCAGACCCTTCAGTGTTGCTGCGAGGACTGGATCGTCTCGTGGGCAAGATCGTCAACAGCAACCCTACTCTGCAATTTCGC